GCCTCCCCGGTGGTTGTTTCCCCCCCAAACCCAGCCTGCCTCTCCAAAAATCTATTTAAATAAAAGGTGGAAGGGACAACTCGCGCTTCCCTCAGCTCTAGGTTTGTTCGTTCTCTCTACTTAGGCTCAGTTTTTCTACCTGCAAGATTTTATAGCCGACGTGAGGCTTAACTAAACTCATCGCTCCCGGTACAAACGTGGTTGTGTGTTGAGAACTGTTACCGGCGACAGGCACGTTGAGGAAGCTACGCCGAATTTGCGGATTTTTTTTCCCCCCCATCACGTTTGTCGCCACACCAGATCAACTTTGCCGCTTTAACATTAAAATCGAACATTTTAATGTTCGCTGCATTAACCAAACAGCCACCGAAAAAAAAATAAATCAACAATTCCTGGGAGTTTTTCCTCTGTTTACCTCATTTTAGTATCTCTGACACTGCACGAGCCTCATGAATCTGCTGCTTGAGGAACTGCAGAGAGGGTGGGCGTTCCCCCTTCCCCACCAAGACGATTGATTTCACAAAGTGGACAACAAAAAAAAATAAAATACACCCAGAACCTGAGGCTGAGTTACCCAAATCCCTTCCCGTTCGTGCTGTTCCCTCTCTTTGGGAGCAGTATTTATTTGTTTTCTCACACACTCACTTGGTTTCTGGAGGCAGAACAGACACTCACCCTTAAAAGGATCCGGCTTCTGTTTTGTGCCCTCTTTCTCCGTCAGCTCCTGACGTCGTTTTTCGATTTTCTTATTCCTGTTGATGATGTACTCCTAGAAAGGAAGAGGACAAAACTCGTCATCCTCCACACAACGCACCGAGACGACCGGCTACCTCAAAGGGGAAGCGAGTTCTCCAGAGAAAACCCACGGAGAAATCTGCGGTTGGTGAATTAACTAGACAAGGTGGGTGTTTTCCCCTCCCCGTCCCTTGTCATTTCTACCAGAGGAAGAAACGGAAAGATCTAAATCGGAGCCAAACAGAAGCCTGCTCCAACAGCACCATCAGATTCCTTGCGGGAGATCCCAAATCCTTGAAAAACGTCCCCAAAACGCAAACAGGGGTCATCCAGAAAATAAAACACCCTGGACTTTACCTCTCCTTCCTCAGCTCTAGATGTGTAGACAGTGAAGACGATCTCTGGACTATTAATTCCCAGCCTTTTTGTTCTAATTCATACAATTAATTTCTCCTCCCAACATGAAAACCCGCAAGAAACCGCGTCACGCGAACTGATGTCATCAAGTGATGCGTTAACAAGCGATGATGCGAGCTACTCAAGCGGGGGGCCCAGACATGGATGAATTTGTAGCCCCTTCTGCTCTCCATGCAAGCCCAAAATTAAGCCCAGCAAGCCCAGCACGGATGCAAGGAAGGGTTGAGCTAACGCCAGGCAACCCACTTACCTGCAGAAACTCGACCGTTTTATCCGGGAGTTTGGTGCCGATGTATCGCAAGGTCTCTTTGTGAAATTTGCTCTGGAGGTGTTTCTGGATCTCTTCTTCTTCGAAACTGCGGAACTTGCAGACAGAACAGGCAAACTGGATTCTAAAATGAGGAATTGAGCTCAGTTTAACGAGAACATTAAGAAAATTGAAACTGTCACCACTTTTATTGTAGTTTTCTACCTCTGAGTTTTTCCAAGTGCCATCCTACAAGATTTTACTTTGCCTCGGACCTTTACGATCGCTGTAGAACCCGCAGGGATTAAACAGCGCCCACTTCGCCCTAAAAGTTTCCGCTACAGGTGTGGATGCTAAAACCCTGCGCGAGTTTAAAAGCGACTGGAGAAATTCATAGGGCAGGAGGTGAATCAGCACTTTTCGCTACGAGGATCCTCTTCCCCAGTGTGGGAAAGCCTCGAGATACAAAAACGCTGGTGCTGCCTTCGCTGGTCAGGCTGTCTTTACGCCATTTATTATTTTAATAGCAAGGCTGTATATATAGCTACTTGAAACATTCTTCTGAACTTGTAACTCTACACTGATCTAGGTATTAAAACCCACAGTATTCTCTTCTTAAAACAAGTCGTAAAATACACAAAAAGGGGAAAAAAAAAACCTCTTGAAAAATCAAAACAGGAGCCCTCCCCCAGATTTCTCCCACAGTCGTGCAGAGGAAAATCCTCGGTTAAACGTTATTCACAGAAACGCTGGGAACGGACCAGTGTCTCGCTGCTCTTACCTGTCCATAGCACGATCACGCATCCGATCTCTTCTCCGCTGCTTCTCCCTTTTCTTTTTCACCTCCTCATCGTCATCTTCACAACCATCTCCAGATGCTAAGAAAAGGGGGAAAAAAAAAATAAAATCAGAATTACCGTGCTCACAATCCCCCCGCTTTGCTGCCTGAGGTATTTTGGGGCCCTCGGTTTCCTCTTCGCTCGCACTTTTGGGAAGTCACAACTTCTTTCGGTCTCTGGAAGCTCCCCCTCTCCCAAACCAGCTTCCGAGCACAAGGAAGCAGCAGCTTCTTTTCCAAGGTCGCCAGTACTTTATTGTAAAAACCCAAATCTTCCTCTTCTCCAGCTCCCTGAACTTCCCACAGCAACTCAAGTCTTCGTAGGCAGCAACGGGAACTTGCCATTAAAGAGTCCCGGCTTTTCCGATGTCCAAAGACACCTCTTCATCCCCCTTCCTTAGGAGGAGCTGCTACTTTTTCCCCAAATTCTTTTTTTTTCCCTCCATTTACCTCTTTTTCACGGGGCTGAAAACACTACTCAATTAAGCAACAAAAACCAGCGGAGACACTAGCAGTGCTCAAGCAGCAGTTCTGCTTCCTTGGGATGGTTTTGGATATATCCCTCACGTCGCCTTCCCACGAATTCCTTGATAATTATTAGGAAAGCAAAAAAAAAAAGAACTAAAGATTCAGTTGACCTCATCTCTGCAGTTTTAGGGTAGAAAACTTGGAGTCCGAGGTCTATCTTATTCTCAGGTAAGAATTCACCCGCAACGTTTTCAGGTAAAGAAATGCAAAGACCAGACTCGGGCATCAGAGGGAGGCTTTAAGTAAGAATTTTAAGATGCGGCTACACCTTAGTTTTCATCCTGAAAACAACCTAAAAGTGGTAATAAAAGTCCTCCGCGTAGTTTTCCCCAAGCCCCTCTAACGCAGAAAGCACAACATGCTTGGGTTGATGCCTCTCTCCCAAAAATTACAACCCAAAATCAGCTGAAGCGGTTCCAGCTACTTTAGACCATATACTTTTTAAAGGAGTCTTCTAATATACCTTGAAATATTCCCATCTATTAAAAAAAAATAAAAATCAAAACCAACCAGGGTTTAGCCCAGTTGATTGAAACCTTCACTGAAAATTATTTTGTTTACGACATCTTTTGCTCTGCCCTGCTGCGAGACTCATCCGTCCTCACCACCGTCCTCCGAGCACGGTAGGAAAATAAAACTTAACGCCGCGGCCAAAATGCATTCGTACAGATGGCAACCGTCCATGCCGGGAAGGAAGGAAACCGTTTTGGCACTCCCCTTCTAACCAGTGCGGCATTTCTGTGCCACGACAGCCAGCGCCGGAGCCCCTAGACTGGTTAACAAGTCATAGCAGGAGGTGCATCAAGTTTTAACTGAAAAAAACTCCAAAACCCAAGCTTTCGGTAGCGCCCCGAGGTGAAGCAGACGGATTCAGAGCAGGATTAGTCCAAGACTGCATGGGGGGGGGCGCGTAACACCCTACCTTCCTCCGCCAAATCACCCCAATTCCCGTTCTCCTGGAAAAGAGAAACACAAAACACAAATCTGGTGTTATTTACCGCGATTTGGAGGTTTCACAGTCCCCCCAGCCAGCCCGCAGAGCAAGCGAGGAGCTGCGTCATTTGGGGATTAAATGTTCATTGTTTTAGAAATGTTGACAAAATAATTGTTTTCTATCTATCGGGTTGTACGTCATCACAAAGTTATGGCTTCTCGCTATCAAAATTTAAATACTCAGCAGCTGAACGGCCGCTCTGAGGAACACCGTACCCAAAATTAAAACTAAACGGCAACGACCCCCCTCCAACCTGGCAAACCGACCGACGAGGCAAGAAACCAACCCCTAATTAGAATTTAGCCCTAACGACCCTCGCCAGAAGCAGAAGTACAGGCGCAGGATCCTAACCTTTCCACTACGAGGGCTTCCCAGGCACCTCGGTGCGAGCAAATCCGGCAGTAATCCCCGCTGAAGGGCATGGGGAAATTACGAGGAGCAAATAATTTCACAAGATACGGGCTCAAAACGCTGTTTCTGGGTGATTTTAAATATTCTGATCCTCGGCGAGGTCAAAAGAAGTGAGGAACTGGCTCGAGTGCTTAAATATTCCCGCATTTGCCACAGAGATTGATAAAAACATTAGGTTACTTACACCTTTGTCAGCTTCGTCTCCTGATTTTTCCTCTCCTTCGCCCTCATCTGCTGCAAACAAGAGAAATCATTTTAGCTGGTGTTGGGGGGGGGTGTCTTTTCTCCCTCTTAACGCCCCACGGGACCCCTAATAAGTCACCAATTATTGCGATAAAGGCTCAAAACTCCAGCGAAAAAAATGGCAAATAGCCCACTGGTTTCTCTTTGCCCATCAGCCTCGGTCCTTATTTTCATTAAATTTTGTCCCAGGTCACAAAATATCACGGCTTGTAAAGACCTGCGCGCTTGCAGGAGTATTATAACACCGCTAACGACTAAAATAAATGCAACAGCTTTGAAACGTAACAACCGTCGGGCAGGTGAAAGATAAAGCACTTAAAAAGGGGGGAAAACGGCCGATATTAAGGGGTGAAGACGGGTTCATACCGTTCTCGGTGTCGTCTCCTTCACTGTCGGTCTTTGCCTGTTTGCTGTCCGGCTCATCTCCGCTTTGCGACTGTTTTCGCTTGCGTCCTCCTCCTTCGCTGTCCGATCGCCCTCCGGAACGGTTTCGGAAACCTCTTCTCTTGGGCTAAAGCGGGAAAGAAATGAGTTGTATTTAGCAAGTCAAGGCACCAAAAAAGAAAAAAAGCTTAAGAAAATTAAATTATTCCACGCATCTGCTACATCTCCTTAAAAAAGTTTACATTTTTGTGACCCTGCAGACTTATTTTTGGCTATAAAAGGATTTTATGGCTGGGTTGGTGCCCCTAAAGAGCGGATTTCGGCTGATGCGAGTAATTCAGAGGTTCTATTTTATGTGCAAACGGAGATATACGAGTTTGGTGATATTCCACTCTATCCAGGAGGATTTGAATTCCTCCGTGGTGGAAGCAACGCGAATTAAGACTCGTGCTTCAACAAAGGACTCGGTTCCACAGCCAAACGGCAAAGCCGACGCACCGAGGCAAGCAAAAAACCAAACTTGACAAGAAAAAAACCCCCAAAACATGACTTACCGTGAGCGTGTTCATGTGCCAGGGCACCGTACCCATCCTGTCTCTGTTTCGTTGCCTCCCCATTCCATACGGCATATTCCCATACCGTCCCATTCCCATGCCCGACATCCCCATCATGCCATAGTCATAGTCTCCGTAGTCACCGTAATCTCCGTAATCGCCATAATCACCGTAATCCCCATAGTCGCCGTAATCGCCGTAGTCGCCGTAATCGCCGTAGTCGGGAACAAGGGCTTGGGAAAATAGGGAAGGGAGCCTGTTGGATCCGGCACCCCCCATCCCACGCCCACCCATGTAGTTCAACTCGTTCCAACGAGCCGAGAGGCGCTCGGAGCTGGAGGAGGGCATGAAGTGATCGGTGCGGTTAAAAGCGTTTAAACGCCCTCGATTTTGAACGCGGTTTTGACCCCGGCCTCGAATGAGGCCGTAGCTGTTTCCTCGGTTACGAGATTGATCCCTGCGGTTGTCAAACTGGCTCCCAAAGGAATCGTTTCGATCGGTTCCGACTTCTCCGTAATCGTAGCCGGATCGGTACATGTCACGGTCATTCATCGAAGATCTCGAGTCGTAGGATTCGAAAGACTCAAATCTGAAAGAGCTGCGCAGGAGGAGACAACGGTCAGCAGCGAGAAGAACGTTTCCACACGTCATACAGGCATTTGCATCCATTTTCATCATAATCCAAGCGGTTTTGGCCAGAAAAAACAGAATAAAAGCCTTTTTAAACCCCGCGGACCCATCACTTCCCCCGTCCCGCATCACCTTTTCCTTATTCTCGGGGGAAATAAATATCAAAGAACTCTTTTCTGCACGAGTATCTGAATAGAAATCCTCTGGAGACATCATAACCTTACTGACTTTACAGCGCTAAACCGCTCTGAATTATGTTTTGCCAGCTGAAAATAGATCCCAGAAGCTTTCCCAAGTAAAAGCTGCTTCTCCTTGTCTCTTAGCTGTGCCTCCGGGTGCAAATTAAGGCGGATAAACCCCTCGGCACCTTGTCCGACTGCAGCAACGAGCATCAAATGGCAAAACAAAAAGGCAAAAATTCATTTATTCAGTAACTCTTGCCAAGGCCTATATTATTATTTCAGCATAAAACACACACTGACATGAAACAACTCTCCAGACCGGCATAATTTAACCCAGCGGGAGAGGAAAAAAAAATAAAATAAAAAATTATTGGGTAGCCATGTGGAAAAAGGGACGCAGAGGGAAAAGAATGCTTTAAGAAACCTACAAATTATAAATAAAAAGCCTTCTGCACAATCTAGGAATTGAATCAGCAATGGAAGTTGCTTTTAATGCTAGATTAAGTTCGAGGTGTTTGAGAGAGAGAGAGATATATATAAATATGTACGCGCACGTGCGCACACATGTATCGGGGCAGGTAAAAAACCAAGCGGTTAAGTTTATTTTCCAAGGAGCAAATGCTGGATCGCGGCTGTGCAATCAGCACAGCTTCATCTGAATTTATAGTGATTAAAAGTTTGGGGTTTTTTTTCTGTTTTAACTCTTAAAAAATAAGTAAGAAGTGGAACAATCACCTCTCCTGGTCTTCCATCCCCTCCCCTGTCCCGCCGCTGCCTTCCTTCGACAGCATATCCAAACGCTGGTTGATTTTGGCGATGATGGAATCCGAGTTCTCGTTCGCCGAAGTCTCGGCGCCGTACGAGGCGACGGGCATGGCGGCGTTGACATCGGCGTTCATACTCATATCCGAAGTTTTGGGTGTTTCCCAGCTGCTGGAAGTTGCTGCGGCGTAGTTGTACGTGGCCGCTGTGTTAGCGGCGGTGGTTTGGGTGTTGTAATAATCGTAGCCTTCATAGCCTGGCAGGAAAGGAAAATTAAATCGATATTAATATAAAATTATAAAGACCTAAGTACCTGGAGGAAGAGTTTAGATGCGAACGGATGCTCCCAGGCAAGGCGGCAGCTGGGTTTTACCTCCTTTAAAAGAAATCTGGTTTCTTAAAGTGAGAAATACCAACGGTTCTTGTTTCTCAACTCTAAAAGCATAAGAACCTTCCGCTTTTGGGCGATTTTAACTGCAGAAATGGTTGTATTTGTGATTTCTGAACAAGAGCCTGAGCCATCTACATCGTACGGTCCCGCAAAATGACACAAGGACACCCAAAGCGGACGCGCTGCCGGGCACATCGCCCTACATCCATCAAAAAAAAAGGACTATGACTAAATATATGAATCAGAAAAAAACCAAAAAAGTAAAATCAAAGCAGCAAGTTGTATCCAAAGAGCATCTTGCAGTAAGATATCATGGCACGGTGGAAAAAACCCAACGCACTGCGGTTGCGCTCGTGAAGCTGCTGGATGCTTCACGTGATCCCGAGATCCGGACTGAGGGATGCACACATGGTCCCAGCAATCCTTGTCGCAGGTCAGCAATCCCAGCTCGAATCCGGTGTCGTTCCGGCAGAGATATGTGCCACGAGCTACACAGCAACCTTCCTCCGGCTGCTAAACCCTTCGCTAAATCAGTTCCAGGGCTCGCTACAGCGACCGCAACAATAATCCCTCAAAATTCTCCTTTTCTGCGACACCTCCCATAAGATTGACACCATTAAGGCCGCCGGCGTGACGATACCGCTGCCGGTTGTGCTGACCGGCACGGCGTTGTTGTGTCTTTGTATTCCCCCATCTGCCCGCAACTTGTGGTTTTATTTTGATTATAAGGTCTCCGGAGCAGGAACAGGCTTTCTGCTCCGCATCGGCACAACACCGAGCACAACGAGGCGCGAGGCCGTGACAGGGATGTCCAGGTATCACAAAAATAGAGAAATAATAGAATTAAAAAACCCCACAAACCCCTCATTTTCACCAGTGACTTGAGCTGGGAGGTTTGAATCCACAGGCTGACGTGCAACGTTCAATTTTATAACAGGAGGACCAAAGAAGTAATATTTTCTAAAAGAATCTCAAGCTTTCGCTTGGGAATGTGTTAAGAGCAGCTTAAAACAGCCAGAGGATCCAAATCAAGGCCAATTAACTAATTGTTCCCAGAGGAAAAGTTTATAAGTGAAAGCAAATCACGTTTTATTGAGGAAGCGCCAGCTTGCACGTAGAGAACTGCGTTTGTGTACGGTCAAGTTGCCAGAATTGCAAGGGCAAACCTTGGGTTTGGAGGGGAAAACGCTATCATCTCAGTAAAATCCATTTATCGATGCACACATCTGGCTGTCCCAGATCAAACGAGAAACGGAGCCGTAAAAGAAAGAAACTTTTCTCATCCATGAGCTCATTTTTCTGCTTTAAGGGACAGACAGCCGTCAGTCATCAGGAGCGAGCTGCTCCCTTGGCAAGAGAAAAAGCCGCAACCACGGAGCAAAATAAAAAGAAATAAATCGATCAGGGAGGAGAAGCGGTTGAAAAACCCAGCGTTGCAAACTTCACATCGATTTCCAAGCGGAGACAAGTGTTTGAGGTGGAAAACGGCTCCGCTCGAGAGACCGAGCAGGGCACCTCAACCCCGGGAGATAAATGAGGTTGGGTTTTATTTTTTTTAAGCACGTACCTTGCCAACTCGTCGCGTTCGTCGCGTATGTACCTGAACAGGAGAAAAAGAAAAGAGGGTTTCAGCTTTAAAAGCAACGAAGTGAAAAGTTTAGAGAATAAAGAGACATCACTCAGTTTAATTGCTGGTAAAAATTCCCCTGCAGAATGGGAAAGAAAGAAGCTGGGACTTCCAAGAGCTACTTCTGAAAATGAAATGAGTAATATATACTTCTTTTCTTTTTAATACGTTTTTGGAAACATTTTCATATATTTGCACTTGAAAAGAACTCAAATTATTCCACAAAAATCCTCAGGTAGCAGTAAAACCACAGCAAAAGCAAAAATATTTGTTAAAATTATCACTTTCGGGAGCATCTCGTTGCTTTTACTGTTTAGGCTGGGAAGAATTTGAAGGAGAGAGCCCAAACTCTCAAATACCCCAGGCCACGCTTTGTCTTGCAGCGCTAATAAACCCCAAGCCATTAAGTAAAGCACGTTATTAATCACACGCAAGACTGTGACCAGTTCCTCCAGTATACAACGCTGGGAATCGGAGCGGTATCACGAGATGAGGGAGGAAATTTTTACTAAGAAAAACCCAACCCCCAAGGAGAAAGTCACTAAAACAGGCAGAGGAGAAAGGATGAAAAAAATGTTTCTCTATTACACTATTGTGGTTAAAAAGAAGAAAAAAAATAAGTTATATTCGAAAATTACAATTCCTCGGATTTATTTTGATCTACACAAACCTCACCTTGAGTGTTGGCGGCCCCAGTATTCCAGGTGCCATAACCTGCAAGGAAAAAAAAAAAAAGAATGGAGTTATTAGAGGGATCGCTCTGTTATCCCGGGTTTTTTTCCTTCCCTTAATTGACCCTAAACCCGATAAAATCTTTAATTACAGCTGCACTTGTGCTTTTTTTATTGTTTGGGAAACATGCCTGAAGCTTGCTCGATGCTTTATTTCGGATCGTGTCAGGTCAACGAGATGTTTTGAAATACCGAGAATTAAAAAAAATAAAATTAAAAGAGTGTTTTGACAGAGAAATATGGTTTTAAAGGTGTTTGATGTAACGACGGCGCAAAGTTACATTTATACAGGAGAAAATTCACGGGATAAATCATCCCAAGAACTGAACCGGCACGTGTCGATCGTGTTACGGGGCCTTTTTCCTACGGAATATCGGATATCCTCGTGCGCGATCCGAGGGGAGTACTGCTATCGTACGAGCCAATAAAATAAATTGAGCTCATGGTGCTTTTTTTTTTTATCCCCACGCAGATTTTCTCACGAGTTCCAAGATTTGGGCTAACGAAGCGGCTTCGGTCTGGTCTCTCCGAAAACAGCAGCGGGGTGAAGCGCTTGCCCAGGTGGAAGAAGAAGCGAACGGCCACGACCCGCAGGAGCTCCCGCCGTGACTTCACCAGCTCTTTTATTTCACAGCAGCGATTTGTTTTCCTCGTCAAAATAAATCATCTCTCCATTTTAAACCTTTTCCAAAGTTTCCAGGATGGAATCAGCATCCCCGGCATCGCCGCAATCCTCGGAAGACCCACCGCGAGCTCGGCAAACGCTTTTGTCTGTTCAAAGGGCATCGGATAAATAAATTCCGCGCTGCAATGAAACCTTGAAGTCATCCAAATTAAATCTTGAAATCAAAAGCGATGCCTTGGGTGTTTTACTGAAAACATTTCCCAGAGTCTTGGCTGCCACTTCTCTGCAGGAAAACTATTTTTTAATGTGTATTTATTATTCCGATCGGAAAAATAAATTGGTCTACAAGCAGAACGACTGATGCCTGGCTTCCTACAGATCCAAATTATTTCAATACCCGCCGTCTTACCCTAAATTTCTCCCCATTTCTGTTCTGGCCTTGCCTTCCCCCCCTGGATCCGCAGTTTCCCTTCCCTTTAGCACCCTCATCTCCCTCCAAACATCCCCTGGCCGAGGAAGAGCTTGCACAAGCCAAAAATCACAGAGGCACACGCTGCCTTCCTTCCTTCTTTTAAGGTTTCAGTTGCTTTTCTGCACCTAAGCCACCAATTTTGCAAAACTTTTCTATTTTTGGAGGTGGCCATCAATTTTGCAAAGCTTTTAATTTTTTTTATTTTTTTTTTTAGACACAGCCTCCGATCCTGCAAAAACTTTTCTATTTTTGGAAGCGGCACCTGATTTTGCAAAGCTTCGCTTTTCTCAGCGGCAGCCCCCGATTTTGCAAAGATTTTATATTTTTGGAGGGGGCCCCTAAGTTTGCAAAGCTCTTCTATTTTTGGTGGCAACCCCTGATTTTGCAAAGCTTTTATATTTTTGACAGTAGCCCCCAATTTCACAAAGCTTTTATATTTTCCGGAGGTGGCCTCCGATTTTGCAAAGCTTTTATATATTTGGCAGCAGCCCTCAATTTTGCCAAACTTGTATATTTTGGGAGACAGCCCCTGATTTTGCAAAGCTTTTATATTTTCTGGAGGGAGCCCGCAATTTTGTAAAGCTTTTATTTTTTGGCAGCAGCCCTCAATTTTCAAAAAAACTTTCCTTTTTGAGTGACACTCCTCCAATTTTGCAAAACATTTCCTTTTTGAGACAGCCCTCAATTTTACAAAACTTTTCTCTCGCAGCCCCAGCACAAAGCTATCTAACACCCACCACGGACGTACAAGACGCCTTTCTCATTTAATAACTTTCTTTTTTTCTGTGGTCAATCCCCTGAAGCACCCAGAATCTCAAGAAATTGCGAACAAAACGGTTACCGCCGTGTTTTTCAACTCCGATAGAAACCGCAGCACGAGCAAAACAGGAACTGCAATACGTGAACGCCTTTTCAAATCGCAGCCTTATTACCAAATAATCTCCTTTCCCGCCGTTGGCGTTCGGAGATCGAATTATTGGGTGTTTTCAGCTTCGCTTTCCAGCGAGATGGTACTGGGATGTGGTTTTCCAGCTGCTGCTTGGGCTCGTGGGGAGGATCGGATCGCGACAGAGCACGGAAATTTAGGACAAACCTCCGACCCATCGACTGCGGCCACCCCAAAGCCTGACTTTAAATCCAGAGCTCAATTTTAACGCTCCCTCCTCCAGCGCTTTAACTCACCGCTTGCAAATAAACCGCTGAGCGCACGCAATCGTTTTGAGTGACATCAAGTGACATCGAGCCCCTGGTTGTCACAGGCATCATCCCAGCCTGACACCTGCCTCCGAGCACGCTCGTAGCTGGAAAAAAAAGCGGGAAGAGAAAGCAAAGCCAGCAGAGAGAAGCTTTTCTCTGGGCAGGTCGCTCTGTTTCTCACTCAGAGACACCAAAAATAGCAGCGGCCCTTGCGCTTTCGACCGCACGCAGAGGTCAGATCAAAAGCGAGCTCCTCTCCTTCGATTTTTTAAGCCGACTTTTGATAAAACCTTGGGTACACTAATTCAGGAGACAAAAATAGCCTGGCCCCAGCACAAAACCTCGAGGAAAACGGAAGCTGCTCGGCCCGAAACGCAGCGTTTTTCAGCCAAAGAGAGTCTCGCCTCTTTGCACCTCCAGATTCTATAGGATAAAGCTCCCTGCTTTTACGTTACGCGTGTATATGTTGGTGTCTGGCCTGCCGAGACGCAGGGCACGTTACGTTCATCCAGGTATGACTACCATTATCATATTCTTTCAAGGAATCAAGAAATTTGGGTTAAGCAAAGACCTCAAGCTTTCAGTACAACTTAAGAACATGGTAATTAAGAGTTCAACGTCTAATTTTGAAACCAAACATTATGTAAAAACCCACTAGATGAGACACGCGGGTATTAATGACTCAGTACCAACGACTAGCGGTTGCATCCATCAGTTCTGCAGCTGCGCAGCACGTCCGTAAACATCCCCAGGAGGGGGAAAAAAAAAAATAAATCAGCGGAATAAATCATCATCGCCTTCTCTTGGGAAAACAAACACAGAATAAAGTGTAGAGCAGGAAAAAAAACAATTTTAGAAGGGATCAAGCAGTGAATTTTACTGAGCGGAGTGTGCTGTGCGTTCTGGTTCCCAGTTGATTCCCCAGACAGCGCTCCCTGAGCTGGGGGAAGAATTTGGGAATCGTTTTTCTCCGTGCACACAAGCGGAGCGTGAATCCCGAGATGACGGGCCAACATCAAGAGATTTCCTTTGTTCAGTCTACGAGAAGCGCTGAGAAATTTAACACCCGCAGATAAAAAGCCAGGGCCCAGGATGCAATTCCCTCCGAAAGCAGAAGTCCGAGCTTCTCCCGCTGATTTCAACACAGGATTTTATCCAGGAGAATAAAGTTTGTCTTCCGCTGGAATCACAAACTATTTAAATTAAATCTATATATCACATGCTCCTATGCAAGGCTCGACTGTAAAGGGCGCTCTCCTCAAAAACCTGCTTGCCTGGAACCGTACAATTCTGAGCACACAGAGAATTAAAAATAAAGGGGTTGGTTATAAGCTGAGCTGGCTACACCTGAGATTTAGTTGTAAAACCCCAAATACGCAAGAACTGTAAGAACACATTCCTTTTTATACCATAGATCAGTAAAAATCCACACCAAAACTCCTCTAAAGCTGCAACGCGCTCGGAGGTTTTAATCTATTAATGGTTCTGCAAGGGGGAGGGAAGATCTCAGATTTAATTAACTCATTAACTTCACAAAGCCAATGAACTCTTTCTCAGGAATGACTTTTAGCTGCCTAAACTCCTCCGAGTTGTTTACCTGGACTCGCTCAGCTGTCGACAGAGAGGAACCAGCACTCGCCCAGGATGATTCAACACATATTTAAGGCGTTTTTAATCCTGTCATAGTTCCTCACCTCATTTTTATATCCAAAGAACAGGTAAAAGACTTAAAAAGCATTTAAAAGCATGATGAAAGAGATGGTGGGCATCAGATCTCCACCAAGCTGAATGTGGAGACAGAAGGAACCTGGAAAGAGTAATTCATCAACAGGTCTGTATCAACAGGACGTCTGGATGAATTACGAACGATCTCTGTATCAAGAGAGATCTGCGGGGTATTAGGAACTTGATAAAACACACGCAGAAACAGCATGGCTGCTGTATTATTTATAAAATCCTGCCACAGTCACAACTACGTTATAAAAACCAAAGAAATGTTCTCAACGGCGAAGTCAAAAATCGTCCTCGTGGGATCTTTGCGTCCCTGAACACAAACAGAAGCGAAGCAAAGCGTGAATCCGAGGTGGGAAGAGGACGGAGGGCTCCAAACGGGCGCGAGGGGAGAGGATCCGGGTTGTCGAGCTCAGATCTGGGAGCATTTACCCACGTGCCGCCATCTCGCAGCTGAATAAACTTCATCGAGGGACTTGAAACAACCGATATTCATCTGTTAAACTTCCGATTTGGGCAGGTTGCTTTCAATTCCCCCTTCCGCAAGCCGTGTTTCGTACTTTAAAGAGACGTTAAAAACCAGTAGAAGCTGAGAGAGCGCATCGACGCTAACGATCTCGACGTCGTTTAGGGCTTTGATGAAAGAAGATGGGTTTTTCCCCTCAAAAATCACTTCCCCATGCCGGCCAACAAAGCTTAATGACGTTTTAAACACCCTTCCCCCGCCGTTTTGACGGGCTCTCACCTGCTTCCTTACGTTGGTTGACGCGTTCTTGCCCGTTGCCGTTATACCGGGGAGGGGGGAAAACACCTCAGGGGGCAAAGCCACACCTGGACGGCTTGAGGCGGGTACCCGAGGGGGAAGAACCATCATGGCTCCTTACGGTGGGGTTTAGGGTTGTGACAGGTGCCCGCATCGGGTCCCCGTTCCTCAGAGAGTCGCTGCTGCTTCTCTCGGGGGTAACGGGGGCAATTTTCGGCCCTGGACGGGGTG